ATGTCTCTTTCAACATAATTGCCTCTTTTTTCACTGTATATGACTCAATGTTTTTCCATTAATCATATAAAACATTATGCATTGAAAATTTCAAATAAGAATTCAGCTAATAACTGTGTTAAGATATATACGGCTCACTCCATATTAACTGAATCAATAGGCCCATCGTTACTATCTCAAATTTTGATGAAATTTTCTACTAAATTTTACCCACTCTAAAGAAATGCAAAACCTGAAAACTTCATTTGAACCATAATTCAAAAAGTAAGAAGAGATAAGCTGAAACCAGAAATTTATATTCCATATATCAATCTATAGGAACACCAAATTTCAGGATGTAAAATTACAAAGTGTTGAATTTGGTAAATCATGCTACAGTAGCAAAAATCTAAGCAAATTTTTCTTGAACATTTTATTTTATTCTTTCTTTCTTTATTTATTTATTTTTTACAGTAAGGTTCACTCTATACAAAGTCTAGGGGCCAGTCAAGGTAGAGGATTAAGGAGCACTTTATATGGATATGAGAGGAAGATAATGGTTATATCTGGACTTGAACACGTTAAGATTATATTAATTGGGGAAACTTCCTCTTAGGAATCGGTTCCACAGAGCAGTGGTTAATGGGAAGAATCTGTTCAAGTTCAAGTGGATTTTACTTCTCACCAATGAATTGCAGAGGGAATGTGGGTGGTTTGCTATAATGTAAATGGCATGACAGGTCCTAGCCATGAAAATTAGACCTGGCAAAACCAAGGACTATAATTTGTCCAAGCACTTTCCACAGAAATAGTGATAGAGCAGGGAGAGGTTTGCCACATCCCACCTGTGAGAGAGAGAGAGAGGTTGAAGGGTGATGAATAATTTGTCACCCACAAGGAGTTGGAGATGCTTTTGAACTATCCAGATGGGGAAGTGAGGACTGGGCTCTTGTAAAGGTAAAGGTTAGCTTAAACTGGGTTCTTGTAAAGGTAGAGGATAGCATGAGGAGTCAGTACTTATGGAGTAGTACAAGGAGCTGACCATTTTACCTGCATCTTTAATGATGGGTCATATGTATGAATTGAACTATGGCTCAAATGAAATTTCTATTTTCAGGTTTTCCATTTCTCTATGGTAGGTATCATATGGTGAAATTTCATAAAAACCTCAAATGGTGACCATGAAAACTCAGTTTTGATTTTGTTGATATGGAATGACCCATATATATATATATATATATATATATATATATATATATATATATATATATATATATATACATGCACACTCATACACAATGGTGCTAGATGTATGGGGTGAGGTGGTCACAGAAATTGTCTGACAGCTATGACTGAGTTCTGCTTGTGTGGCATTGTGCAGAATCCTGTTTCCAGCAGCCACTCTCTTGACCCAGGCATTTGATGTAGATCTCCACAAGTTTGAGGCCTTGTGGGAAGATCAATGGAGGCATAACATCGCCATCACTGGTGATCACGCCAAACACCATGATGTATCATCCAACTCTTTCCGAATCCTCTGCACTCTGTCCTCAGATTGCTACCCAAACACTCTGAAATGTTCATATTGGAGCTTCCAGCACAAATGCCAAGCAGTACAGCATGTCATTTCCAAATTTCTTGTGGAGTGAATTGTGCCATGGTGCTCTTTTTCTCACAGACTGTGCTCAACTGACCCTACTGTGCAGTTTACAAAATCAAAAATAAACAATGTTCATGTGCAAAATTAAAAATATAAAATGGCAACAATTTACTCATCGTACCCTCTTTGTGTATGTATGTGTGTGTGTGTGTATATATATTTATATAAAGCTCTTTAGAAAGAATTCTGATGTTTTGTCATTTGGTCAGATTTTAAAATTGAGTTAAGCCAAAAATTTTGTTGAGTAATGAATTTAACTTAAGGAAATTCATTTAATGTTTTCATTGTACTGAAAATTCATTCTTTAAAATGGCTTCCAAACTTGCTTTCAAGACTTAATTTTATATCCATTTCTCTTTATTTCATTATCTTGTTCTTTTAAAAGTTTTTATTTCATTTCATTTTTTCCATTTCATATGATATGTAGTAACAATCCAAATACCCTACCTTACCCACCCATCTTATGATAAGATAGGTGTTGGTGGGGTATTGATTTTTGGTGGTGTTGTCCTTTCAGCATCCACCAGATTATAGACATTTCTAATATGAAACTCTTGTTTTTGCAACTGTATGTTTCTTATGCAAAGAACAGTTTGATCTGGAAAAATTTTCAGTAATTTTCTTGTTGTGGAACTTGTAGAGATATTACTATTTATAGTAATTTATAAAAGAAATGGAATTCCTCTATTTTATATATGCTTTTCTCTAAACCAGACATTTAATGATTAATCTTAAAATGAATTATATTTGGAGGAAGATAAAACTGTATAGGATATCCTTAGATATTTTATTATTCAATTTCCAGTATTTTGTGTTTTTGAGCTTCATGGAGCTGGTTTCAAAACATTGTCATAAACCAACTTTTATATGTACAAAACTAGCCTCAAAAAGGTACATTTTTGTAATTATTTTTACACTTTAATGTTTATGATTTAGATGAAGTCAATCACAACTGATATGTGGCTATGGGGTGTTTCTATATTTCTGATATTCAAAAATTACATGGGGAAAGTAAATAAGTCTCATTGTAAAAAAGTTGCAACAACACTTGTAGTCAATGATTATTTTTGCTCGTATGAAGCAATGTTTTTTAATGCAGTTAGATACACTGGTTTATTTACTTTCAAAATATTTTTAAAAGTGTGAAGAAACTCTAAAATGTCAGATGGATCTGCTGAAATGTACCAACCCATTTTATTGTATGCAGTGGGCACCATTTCCTTTTGATAAGCTGGGTTTTCTCATGTCTATAAAAATAATCAGGAAAAACTTGTCAGCATTTCTTGTGATGCCCCTTTTGAAAGTGACTGCCTGAAGAGTAATTGACAGTTTCTATTACAGATGTTTTGGGTTGGGCTCATTGCATTTGGCTAAGTGTGGAGATGGGTGGCAGATTGTGTAGTGTCAGAAATTCTAGATTACTTCCTATCAAAATTGATCTAAGCAAATAAGGCAGATAACTCTTCCCTAACTATGTTCGTTATTTATGTCTGCATTTTCTACATTAATTTTTTTAACCATCTGGAAATGGCTGAGGAGTTATCTTGTCATAAATTTCTTTCTCCTGGGTCTTCTTATTGTTAGTAAATTGGAGAATGATTAAAGATAATTTGCAGAAATCAATGAAAGCTATGATTGTTTTGGAGGGTGTGACATGATACTGTACTGGTATCACATAAAAATATCCCAGTTTGAATTGATTAAATCTTGGGATTATATTAAGTTTAATATTCATTTAAGAACAGCTACATCTTTAATTTTTAAGCCTGTTTTGTAAAAACTTTAAAAATGACAATATTTAAACATACTCAGTTTATTTATCTATTCCTTTAAGGCTTTGTTAAAAAAGAGTAATAAATAAATTAAAATTGACATTAATTCTGTGGCATGGGTGAGATTATATAGATTCAAATTAAAGTAAAATTAAAAAACAAAACATAGTTATTAAAATATGTAACAAACAATGTTATTTATGTGACAAGCATAAATTATGATTGCAAATTAGGTTAACTTTGGGAGCATGGTTTATAATTTCTCTTTACATAGTAAGACAGCAAGTAGGGTATTCAAAAACCAAAATAAATGAACATAGGTGTGCACATATATATATAAGGACAAAAAACATGGGTGTGCACATATATATATATAAGGACAAAAAACATGGGTGTGCACATATATATATATAAGGACAAAAAACATGGGTGTGCATATATATATATATATATATATATATAAAGACAAAAAACATGGGTGTGCACATATATATATAAGGACAAAAAACATGGGTGTGCACATATATATATATATATATATATATATATATATATATATATATTAAGGACAAAAGAAAAACTTAGCAGTCATGTTTCATCCTCTGAGGGACTATATCAAGGCAAATGCAAGGATTTTATTTTGTCACAAGTATTTATATAGAAAACCAAAAATGTTATTGGCTTTTCAAAATTTTTAAGTTCATTTTTATTCATCAGGTTAGCTGAAAAGTCAGGTAAGCTATGGAGGACACAAGATACTAATTTGCAAAAAAAAAAAAACAAAAAAAAAAATTAAAATACATCACTTACTCATTTTGTGATAATGTCCCTCAAAGTGTGTTGGGTAAAATAAGTTTTCCTTTTGTATTTATTGTCCTTTTACAGATATTATTTATCTGAAATTTTTACACACACACTCTCTCTCAAACACATTTAGGCAGTAAGAGGTTAGTTGTTGATTGATTATTTTCTACAGCTTATCAACTTTTTGCAGGTTATTTAAAGTCAGGAAATATTTTTAGATTATAAGAAATTGGAGGGGGAGGATAATAATGGTTTGCTGATACAAATCTTGCTAATTAACCCATAGCTGGAGAAGAAGAGGTAGGTTCATTCCTTTCTCAAGGGTATTTGTGCATACGTGAATTTAACAAAGCCAATGGGAATTGGAACTCAGCTCTTCAAATAACAATTCTGAGTCATTATCCATTTATACCACCTGTACAACCAAGCTGACAGTAACTGATATTCCCAAGCAAAAGTCATTCAAACAAATGACAAAGTTTGTCTCTTTCATTTTCTATTACATTTTTCTGCATTGCATACAAGTTGCCATACATCAAGAACAGATTTGTGGAGAAACTGTTCAAAGTTCATTATTCCGATTATTGGGATCATAGAAGAAAGCTTTTATTAGTTTCATCTTAGAATTTTAGGACTGTTACATTTCTAATTTAAATATATGTGTATATATATGTTATATACAAGTGATGTTATAGGATAGTTTTTCTAAAAATGTTTCCATTGGCAGTCACAAAAGTTGATAATGCCTAAAGACAAACATTACATTTTTTTTAACGACATTTTAAATGCTTTTCAATCTAATGAAATATGTTGTTTGTAATGTAGGTCGTTTCTATTGTTTCTTTAAGTGTTCTGAGTCTTTCTTTATAGTAAGTGAAAGAGAAAGATTAAAAGTACTCAAAACTATAACTTTCTCTTTTATATAAGATTATCATTTTACTCTTAAGTAAACTTTCACTAAATTTTTGCCAATTTAATCATATTATATATGCACTGAGTAAAGTATATAAAGAGTGATTTACTTATTTATTTTTTAAGCCTCATTAACTTTCACCAAAGATTGAACCCTGGTATACAGATTTTATTATTGTTGATGTAGATTGTAGACTTTTTCAAATAAATGACAGTTGACTTCTCTGAAGGATTTCTCTTTGTCAAAAAGTGTATCATTAAAATTTGAAACCAGTAATATATTATGTTAATTTCAAATGGTTTACCTTCTCTTCTTCAAGGCTTTTCTTGTGAAAACTGAAGCAAATTAAATTGTTTAATTTTTTTTTTTTTTTTTTTTTTCATGTATTTTTTTTCATGGTTACAGATTTTTTCAATTTACTTTCAGGTAAATCCACGTGATAATCGGTTGCTTTTTGAAGTTTTTGATGAAAATCGATTGGTAAGTATACTGCTTTATTTTCCTTTCAAAATTATCTTTCTGATTACACATATTTGCAATACAACATTTTATAAAAAGGTAGCTATTGGCTACTATTTCTTTTTTATTTATAAAGATTACATTTTTCATGCCAGAATTTAACTCACTTTAGATGCATGTTTTCACTTGTATTTTTTATTTTATTAAGTAACACTTTGCTTAACAACTGGGTTGCTTTAAGAAATATTTCAAGACCATTTGAATACTATAAGAGAATTAGGATGATGAAAATGAAAGCAGTTAATTTAGTGTAATTCATGGAAATGGACTGAAATTTTGTCAAATTGATAAAATTAATGGTTATTTTTTATTTATTTATTTTTTGCAGAACTTGTATCTGACATAAGATTACTTGAGTTGTATTGTTTTACAAATTGATTCTAAAAATCAGGGGTAGGGTTAATTTCTCAGCAAGATGGTGTCTGTAATAAAAAATCTATAAATATATAATTTTAGGCTCATATAGGGGTTAAAAAGAAAACTAATAATCAAAAATTAATTATTGGATAATTTTTGTTGTGTTCACAGGAAGTGTTTGTTAAAGAGAAGAACAGATTCTGATAATGAACAGTTTGAGTAATTTAAGCTATTTAGGCCACTCACTGTAGGTATAAAAACATGTCTAAAATGAAGCTTTTGTTATTGACAATGTTGTAAAGTATTTCAAACTAGCAAATAAAATGGCTTTTGGATTATCAGTAGCTATGATTCATTTAATCGACTTTGAAATTTTGCAGGTAAGAAATTAGATTGGATATGTACTGCTTATCTGAATAGAGCAGTGAAAAATCCTCTTGTTTTTCAAGTTTTGTCAAGAATTTTGTTTTCATTGGGGATGTAGGTTTTAAGATCTTCTTATAATCATTTTTTTACACACAAGTTTAATGAAAGTAATATTATAGAAATAGTCTATTTGGTGTCACATAGAAACATTAAATTGTATATTTCGTTTGTGCATGAAGTATGAAATTTGCTGATGGTGGCTTTTCAATTGTTTTCCAGTCTTCAAAATCATGAAATTGACAGAAAGTTTAGAAAAGACAAAATTCATATCAAATATGAGGTCATTTTTTTTAAAAAAAAAGTTTAATTTAAATACCTTATTACAATTTTATTTTTATACTCTTCCTTTTCTTTGATTATGTCTCTACAAGAACCAAACTTAATTTCACCTGGCACAAGACCACAATAATGAAACACCTATTGAGGATTGAACTCATTATTGTAACAATGATCTTTGGGATGAGCTTGTTAAACTTCTCTCTCTGGAAAAGCAACCAAAATTAAGTTATTAAATATTCTAATTATACCAGGACTTATTTGGAAGTTTGGGTATGAAATGTTAGAATTTTAGAGACTGCTGCTTCCATGATTAAACATAGATTAGCTGCAAATAGAACTATAAAATTTCTATCCCTAGAAACATTGTTTTTTTTTTTGTTTTTTTTTTTAGGTAAAAATAAAATAATCTGGTTATTTTCTCCAATTTGTTTTTAGTTTGTAATTTATTTGTATGGAACTAAGAAGCCATGAAGCAGCATTTTTCAACTCTAGCTTAAACCTGCAGTATTCCTTATCGTACCAATATGCATGTGACTAAATGATGTTGGGAAAGCAAACCTGTCTCTATTCTGTACTTTGGGAATGGATTTCTCATATTCATTCTTGCATATTACAGACAATTGTTCTCTAACTTTCTTACTCTGCAGCCAATATGATGAGTCTGTATTTTCTATATTAGTGTTGGCTAGAAAATGAAGGTGATTAAGAGGTGCTGTTGTTTGTTTAGCTAAGAAGAATTACACCTGCTAAACTGCTTGGTTCAAGTTGAAGCCTAAGAGATACTGAATCTAATTTCGCTTGAGCAATTTTTTTTTTTTTTCTACCTTCTAATAGTGATGGAAACTTCCATTGTGTTTTGGTTGGTCAAGTTGAGGTAGATCTTTCCATAACTGCTGTCATCATTTATAATACTTATTCAAATGTAATGTGCCTTTGTAATTTTTTAATTAGTCTGTTATCATTGATAACAGGGGTAACAATTCTTCTGGCTACTACTGTAATTAAGTTAGTGGGAGATATCCCTACTTACTTTTCCATCAATCACTGTAGTCTGCCAGTGACAAGACATTTTTATTGAGTTATCTAACAGTGATATAGAGCAGTGGTTTCCAAACTTTTTTTTAGCTCATGGCCCACTTTGAACCCATAATTTTTCTGTGGCCCATGAAATTATTGTAGTATAAAAAATTAATTCCATTTTGTGGCTCATAAACTGTGACCCATATATTAACCTGGTGGCTCAGTAAAAATTATGAAATTTCTGTGGCCCACCTGAAATTTGCCATGGCCCCTTTTGGGAAACAATGGTATAGAATGCAAAAAGGGCATAACAGAATTTGAACTTAAGGCCAGAGAATGCTGCTTCTAGGTAAGTTGGTTTTGAGTACTTAATTTTGATGTTTTAAATATTGCAGTTATGGGTAAAAAGAAAGATTTGAGTAACTTTTGTTAAAGACCAAATTGTTATGACTAGAAGACTAGATCAAAACTTTCCTAAAATATTATGACTTATGGCAGATTTAAATTCAGTTGTCATGAGTAACTATTGTTTATATGGAAAGTATTCTTTCCTGTACTATATGCTTTACCTCACTTTGTTATACACATTTCAAGACTAGGTATGCCTTACATGCCAACATCTTTTTGCAGTGACAACTTTCAGCAGGATACTGTGCCTTAATGTATAGCATGAGTTGTATGAAAATAATTTCAGAAACATAAAGAAAGCTTCACTCTGCTTTCCTGATCACCAAATTCTCCATGTCATTTATTGGACTTTGATGATTGCAGAACCTCCACCACATAACTTGTAACAGGGAAATTATATATACAAAAGAACACTGAAAAATCTCTGTTTAATCCACTTCCCAAAATCTGGCTAAATGAACTTGCCAAATTTGTCTTTGCATCTTTGTCATTAAAAATGAGAACATTTTTATTACACAAATGATGGAAATAAAAATTTTCTCTCTACAAAAGAATTAACTAAAAAAATTCAAAGATTTTGTATTGTCTCTGCACAAATGTTGATGTTTATCAATTCATAGAAATTTGAAGGCAAAAAAGTGGCTACAAAAGGATGTGTTGATCTCTTGGTAAAGCTGAATTAGATTTGTCTTGTCAGATTAAAAAGAAAGTTTTTCTTTTCTTGCAAACAAAGCATAGCTGAAAAAATATTAATGGTGCTAAAATACTGGTTCAGAAAAAGTTGTTTTTTTTTTCTTTTAAGTGAAATTTATAATATTTAGATATTTGTATATAGAATATGACAACCACATATTGCAAAAATAGCAAAAGCTAGTTGAAAAAAACTATCAGTTTCACTAGCTTTTGACATATTTGTGGCATCTTCATGATTCCTTTCTCCCAGAGTTGTGAAAAGAAGTAGGAATTTTTAAATTCCTTTAAAAATTGTTAATGTATTACTATATAAGGAGGATTGGTTTAAACAGTTAAAATTGACAGATTAAACAATCTATTTAAAATGAATTGTACCTAACAAACTATTGGAAAAAAAGAAAATTATATATATATATATATATATATATGTGTTTTCACATGACCCGTCAGGCTTGACATCCCATTAAACAAATTCTAACCAACCACCAATCCATCCTCCTAGAATGTGGTATCTTTCTGGGTGATGAACTGGCTGGTCTAAGTGGTTTCCCAAGCTTCAAGAGAATTGAAGTTCTTCCAATTAAGAGAACTTTGTCAGGATTGAAATCAATGGCAATCCAAAGTTGCAGGATCAGGTGAGTACAACGGGTGTAATATGAGATCCCTGCTAAGCTGTACTATTTTCTGCCAGGTTTGCAAAGAGACACGAGATCTGGTATTGTCCTGATGGAAGATGACACCTTTCTGATTGACCATGCTACATGCTTTTCACCGATTCTTGCTTTTAATCAGTCCAATTGAAAATGGTACTTATCTAAATTCAATGTCTGGTTTTGCAGAAGGAATTTGTAATACACATTGTCCTTCCAATCCCACCAGATTCACAGCATTTCGAGTTCATGGTGGCTTTTTTCATTTTCCTCAGAACATTTTTCACTCAACATTGTTTTAAACAATCCATTTTTCATTGTCTGTGATCATTTTTTTAAAACATGTCATTTTTGTTGTTTCAACAGAAAATCATAAATGGAAATGTGATTGATTAAATTTTTTTCTGTTACATCATGGTGCACTCAAACAATAGCTGTTCACATATCCAAATATTTTCAAATGTCTTACTCCACATATTTCATATGAAAATTGTATCTCTGTGAGATGTTGTGTCATGTGACCTAGATTATTTTTAATCCACATTTCTATTTGTTCATCATCAATGACTGCAGACCTGCCAGAATGTTCTCAGTCTTTTAAATCAAAATTTCTTCTGAACCAATTACAACTTCTTGTAAGTGGTTTGCTGTATTCTCAACTATAGCACCATAAACAGAACATATCATTTTTGCTGTTTGTACAGCATTTTTTCCTTTCTGGGAATAAAAACATTTCATTTTCCTCAATTTTCACTTTTAATGCAAAAACATTTTAAATCCACATACAAATTGTATAGAAAGACATGTTGAAATGTCACTATTCAGTGTGTGTGTGTGTATATATATATATATATATATATATATATATATATATATATATATATATATTATAAATTAATTGATTTAAAATATGTTTTTTTTGCTACACAGTTCTAACCATGTTTCAAAATGGAAGCTAAAAGTCTAATTTAATTTTGTAATTAAATTAAAGACATTAGTTCCATTTCATCCTCAAGCTTAATTACAAAATTAAATTCGGGCTTTTAGCTTCCATTTTTGAAACATGGTTAGAACTGTGTAGCAGAAAAAAAAAAAAACCTATTTTAAATCAATTAATTTATAATATTAATGCTCTGTAAATTTACATTGAGCACTATATTGTAAAAATAAAAATATCTATAAGAACACCGGATTATATATCTTGCTGTTCTTTCTTTTTATTTATATATATATATATATATATATATTATATATAATATATATATAATATATATATAATATTTCTGTCATCTCTGAAACAAAATACAAACTTTTGTTCCAACCCAATACTTAGTAGTTGAAGGCTTGGATTTTTTTTTTTTTTCACAGCATAGTATACAGATTGTAGATACTGGATACAGTTTAAGCCATACTTTTCAGTCGTTTATAATAAAATTGCACAAGAATAAAAATTTGTTAATCATGTTGAATGTGTGAGCTATAAACTAAACAACATCGGGGTTTTTTTTGTTTTTTTTTTTTGTTTTGTTTCGTTTTTGTTTTTTATTTGGTCAAATTAAAAATTTGCCCAACACACACACACACACACACACACACACACATTTTTGAGCTCATTATCCCAGTCTCTTGGTCAACTGTTAAGCAGTGGTCTTTAGCTAAAACTACCAATTTTAACAAGGTCCTCCTGAAAATAAATTCCTATGCTTTCTTCCCTAAAGGAATAAAAGTACTTTTGATTCAGTCTTACATGTATTTTAAAAACCATTTCACCATTTTGGGCCATTATTTAGTTATAGCTACGATGACCCCCCCTCCCCCCACACTTTTTTTTTATAAGAAGTTTTACTGAACTTGGGATTTGTTCACAATGAATCATTTGATTGAAATAGGTTGGTTCTAATTTATGCCTCTGTTGGAAATAACTACTGTGAATTAGAACAAAATGATGTTAAAGATCTCTAGTTTAAAGATTTTTTTAGACTGACAGGTCTACACACACACACACACACACACACACAGTTCTGGTAATATAAGGGGAGGTAACTCTGAGCTCTATGCAAAATTACTTCTTCCTCCATATTGAAGTTTCAGTGATAACTGCTGTTACACTTGCTACTAGGTAATGTAAAGATGATAAGTATATTACTTTTGTTTATCAACCTCAGTTGATCAATACAGTAGAAAGAAGAATGAAGGGTTTTGTAATGATTATCCACATAAATTGTTAGCGATAATCACCTCCTTCTCTTCCTTCATAATTCTTGTTCTTCATTCTGTTTTCCATTTTGTAGACTTCCTTCTTCTTTCTTTATCTTTCTATCTGTTTATTTGCAATATTTTTACACATTTACTATCATATTGTAGATAATAATAAGAATAATTTCTTCTGTATGTTTCTTTGTGCAACAATTTTTGTCACACTAAAGTAAACCTGTCTAAAATTACCAAGTGAATCCTAGTCTGATTCAAACCTTTACATAAATAGCTAAATGGCATACATTATGCCAATGTTCTGCTGCTTGAACAGCATAGTAAAATTAATGTGCAAATCCTAAGTAAGATTGCTCAGATACTACACTGATCCTAGGCTGGGAAATGGCATTTTGAGTGCACAGATACTATACTGATTCTAGGCAGAAAAATGCTGGGGAGTAACACTTTGATCTTAAAGACAGATAATCTTTAGAAGTGCTGATCCATACATAAGTAATCCTATCATTTTTTTTTTATGTGTACTATGCTTATGTGTTTTCTACTTATAGTCACATTCTCATAAAATTCCTGAAAGATGTTCCTGGAAATAACCTACCTACTTATCCATTTCATTCAATTAAGACTTTCCAGTAGGCTCTGTGCACCATTGACTAACAATCACAGACTTTGATTTTATGATTAAGTTAACGGCTGAATAATAAATGTAACATCTACATAAATGTCATTGAAAAAAACATGTGGAAAAAATCTCACAAAGAATTATGTCTCCCTCTACATGTTTACAAAAACAAACATGTTTTTATATTCTTTATTCAACCATCTAAAGAGACATGACAAAAGTAAATAGACATCTTTATTTTCAAACAGCAGCTTTATTCAATGATGTATGCAATTCAAGATTATCTTTAGAAAAAATTAAAATTTGAGGTCTTAAACTTATCAGATCTTCTATCTTATGGGATATCAAAGGAAGAACACTAAGTAAAATTTATATGTTGAAGCATTTTCTGTTTCTTTATTTCCAAAATGGCTCAAACATATTCAGTTGGATCTAAGTCAATCACTTTGGGGGCCAAATATTGTCAAACTTTTTTCCCCTTGTGGCACCTTGCATTATTAGAAATATTCATAGAAATATGATTTAATTTTTTCTTACTCGGTTTACTAAACAGGTTGTTGATTTTTTTTAAAACGGAAAATAATTGAGTTGAAAATAATTCACTAAGATTGTACTTAGACGATCCTAAGGGAAGAAGAGGAAAGAAAAGAAAAAAAAGAAGAAAGAGGAAGAAAAGAAAGAAAGAGAGTTGGATGATGCATGACCCCGTCAATGGTGGAGATAGGAGTCAGAAAGATATCTTGGCCTAGCGTGGCCGAATTTTTTAAAGACAATTGGAAGAATAGAATTAGAAATAATAAGAAGAAAGAAAGGGAAAAGACATGATATCAAAACGGGCCGCTTGATGAAAACCAGATATCGGTCAAAACATCTGACCTACTTTTTGCGTAGAAAGACTCATTATCAATTTGGAGTAAAGGGAAATTTTAAGAACAATGAGAACGAAATCTTAATCAGAGAAAAAAAGTTTTTTTGGGTTGAGGGGAGTGACCGTGGAACTATATACAGATCCTGACCTATTAAGAATTGGAAACCCACGATAATAAAGTGGGAACATTCTCAATGTAGATAATTAAGATTTTCTGACTGTCGGGTCTGACAAGGACGGGAGGTGAGGGGGACGATTGTCTCAGTTCACAGATAGCGCCAATATTCTTCCCTGAAGTCACATCTAATTAGCGGCGGGCTGTTTGACAGAGCCCAGGTGAGAGAAAGCCAAGATTGTCATTTTTCGTACGTGCAGAAAGGGCAAAATTGGATTTTGTTTTTTTTAAAAACAAGAACGATGTAACCACGCCCGAAAGGAGGAGAAAGGATGCTCGATCAATAACAATTGGTCGGAAACGGTCACGTGATCTGCAGAAAAGAAGAGAAAGAAATGCCCGATCAGGAACCATTGGTCGAAAAACGGTCACCTGACATACGAGAGACTAAGAGAGATGGGTGTGCACCTCCCCACCAGAGGCACTGTGAGGAAGTAGGGGTGAAAACAATAGCGATAATGGGAAATCAAAAATAATGCGACTTTTGGAATTATCGAGAAAAACCCTGACGCCGACAGACCCACCCCAGTTTGTTGCGGCGTCAATAAAAGCAGGACCCCAGTCGACAGAAATCAGTTGGAGTGGAGTTGCAGCTGACCGCGGCAGGAAAGAGCCTGAACGCGGCGGGCCCGATTCACTCCGCCTTTGGGCAAGAGAATCCTGAGACAAGAAATCAGGCAGCCCAAGTCGAAGACAGAAGTTCAGCCCCGGACGGCAGCAAGAGAGTTCAGCCCCGACGGCAGCGAAATCCTTCAGCCCAAGACGGCAGCAGAAGAGTTCAGCCCGGACGGCAGCGAGAAGAGTTCAGCCCCGACGAAGAGAAGAGTTCAGCCCGACGGCAGAGAAGAGTTCAGCCCGACGGCAGCAAAGAGTTCAGCCCCCAGCCGGCAGCGAAGAGTTCAGCCTGACGGCAGCGAGAGAGTTCAGCCCGGACGGCAGCGAAGAGTTCAACGGCAACCCAAGAGTTCAGCCCCGACGGCAGAGAGTTGCAGCTGAGTTGAAGACAAGAGATCCTTCCAGCCCAAGTCGAAGACAAGAGAACTTCCAGCCTAAGTCGACGAAGAAGAAGAAATACAACTCAAGTCGAAGAGAAGAATCAACTGCGAATGATCGATAGAAATTAGCCCCAGTGTCGAACCAAACCACACCCGACATACACAAATTCTAAAGAGTAGGCAATTCAAACCTTTAGGTTGTGTGATAGAAGCTTGTGCCATAGTCCACAGAGCGGGTCGGGAATTGAGAACAATTTTGTTTTTATGTAACGGACATTAAGATATAAAAGGTTGTTACCCTTTTTTTTCATCAGCAATCTTTTTGTCTCGTGAGTTTATTTTCTCTTTTGTTTGTGTTTTGCCACCCCCGTCGGACTCAACTTGTATCGGCCCCAATCCCTGCTGGTCCCGTCTGTCTAAGATCTAAACACAGCGTGGGTAGACAGACCGGAGATCGGTACAGTTGCTTTAGTGACCAGGTATTGGAAGCGAGTTGGGAAAGGCGAGGCTGGTGATCATCCAACCAAGGGGTTGGAGCGGCACGCTTGGAACCAGGAGGAGCGACCAGGAGGAGCGACGTCACAGTTGGCGCCGTAACCAGGGGATTCGACCCTGGGCCAGGTGTGTAACCGTCACACCCTGGCCTTTTGCCAAACTTAGTAAAGAAATACATAGATTGGTATCCTCAATGAAAATGGGTCTATTTTTGTTCAAGTAACTGCCAGTAAATCTTGTGGCATGTCCTGCCAATAGAATTGATGTGTATTTTTCTGTGTCTATATTTTACATGCTTTGAATGGCAAGGCTTAAGGCCAAATCACATTGAGACACAGTTTCCTATACAAACACTGAGGTTAAGCAACGTCGAGCCTGGTCAGTACCTAGATGGGTGACAACTTGTGAATACCAGGTGCTGTAAGCTTGGATGTGAGAGTCGTGTAATGGATAATGTCTTGAAATTGTTAATCGGAGAGCAGAGTTTTGATTCCAGTTAGGTTTGTTATATTCACTTATGCGCAAATACCCTCAGGAAAGGTATGAATCCACCCTCTTCTATCCCCTCCACTAAAATTCTTATAATCTAAAGATATTCTCTTGCAAAGGGTTTTCTACCATAGAAAAATGGAATTAATTAATAAAACAATTGAATGACAAATGCTTCAAATTGTAGGCAGTGCAACCAAAGCCTGTGGTTAGTCAATCTCAAAATTCATACAAATGTGCTGCTTTGACAATATGTGGCAAATTTGTAAAACTTTTTCCACTATTTAAAAAAAATTTTTAGCAAGTTACACAATCTGTATGCTATGGCAGTAATGTCATCTTTGGAGGTATTGTATTGGGTTGTCTGGAAAGTTCACACTGATTTTTAGTTGTTCATGTTCCAATGCATTAGAACACATCAAATTTATCAACAGATATAATATGCTTTCATTTCTAATTAGAAACTATCTCTTGAGAAAGAAAATTTAAAATTACTTAATCTGTGTCAACTTTGCATCCCTATGAAAATGGAAGTTTATAAGTTGCATTTTAGACACTTCATGCTTTTTATTTACTTATTTTTATTTTTTTTATTACTGTAAAGGCAAAAATCCCTTGCAAACAACAAAAAAGATGTGTGCTGTGTATTGTGTAGGTGCTTTAGCTAACAGAACTGTATGAAAGTGGTTTGCTAAGTTTAGAGTTGGTGATTGTAGCCTTATTGATGAAGTACACTGGTAGCCCCCCCAAAAAAAAAACTACAGATGACAACCAAATCAAGACATTGAGAATAATCCACACAACATGGAAATTAGCAGAAACACTAAATTTATCAAAATCCATCATCCATGAGCACTTAGTGAAGCCTGCTTACTCAAATCTCTACAATGTTTGGGTACTACATGATCTGAGTGAAAGGAATCTTTTGGATCACATTTGCTGTATAAACACAATGAAAATGTGCCCTTTTTGAAGCAAATTGTGACAGATGATGAGAAATGGATCATTTACAACAATATTCAGCAAAAAAGATTCTGAGGTAAGCAACATGAGCCAACTTTAGCCACCTCAAAAGCAGGTCTTCATTCTCAGAAGGTCATGCTGTGTGGGATTGGCAAAAAATTCTGTACTATGAGCTTCTGCCAAGTAACCAGTCAATTGATTCTGAAAAGTACTGCTCGCAACTGGATGGATTAAATGTAGCAATTCAAGAAAAACACTCAGAATTGGTGAATAGGAGGGGTGGTGTTTTCCATCAGAATAGTGTCAGACCTCACATTTCTTTGGCGATCCAGCAAAAATTGTTGCAGTAGGCTGGGATGTTACCCCATATGCCATATTCCCCAGATATTGCTCCTTTGGATTTTTATTTTTTCAGGTCATTGCAAAATAGTCTCAATGGTAAAAATTTTAATTCTTTAGGTGACATAAAAAAAACAAAAAAAACACCGTAATGAGTTATTAGCCAAGAAACCACCAATATTCTGGGAAGATAGAATCTTTAAGTTGAAGGGAAAATGGAGAAAGGTTGTGCAACAAGATGGTTCATATTTAGTTGTATAACTATTGAATGGCATAATTTTGGTTTGGGTTTTAATTTCTCTTAAAAATTGGCATGAACCTTCCGAACCCAATATATGGAACTAATTGGGAAAAAGGGTAGGGATTTTTATTTACATGTTTGATTCAACAAACTTTAAAAAATTTTAAATTACCAAACCTTTTATTAACTTAAACAAGAATAAAGACTTATCCAAATTTGATTCTTATCTGATTTTGTCAGTAATAATGTCAGTAATATTAGTGTTCAGATTACCACCGTGCTTGGTTTGGTTTGTTAATCTTCAAAGAGTTTCTTTTTTTTTTTTTTTTTTTTTTAAATTTGGAACTGTTGCATGGTTATTTCCCTTGAGTTGATTCTCCTGGCAAACTTGATAAGTGCATTGGGCAAATAACCCTCACATGTAAATATCCAATTCATAATTATTTTCTTTATCCAATGACCCATAATTTTTTTTCCTTCCATTTTCCATAACAAATATTTTCTCACTTATAGAATAATAGCAGTTAGGAAACATTTGTATACAGCAATGTTCAAGAAAAAAAAATATGGTGGAGGAGTGTTATAAATGTACTTTCATGCAACCCCTCCACTAACTCTTCTATAATCATATTTTTCATAACATAAAAAATTAGCATTATCAAAACAAAAAGAAATGATTTGTTATTACTCAGATGATGCTGATGTACAAGCTTTTTCTCTTTCTTGCAAATTTTGCTGCTTTTTATCAGTTCATTCATTTGTTTTAATTTTTGTTTGTCCCCCCCCCCCTCACACTCTACTTATTTCTTATACTTTTATTTTCTCTTATTTTCTGTTTACTTCTTCCACGGGTAGATGTTAAGTTCTTTTATAAGCTTAATGCCACCCACTCCTTCCACTTTATTATACTTCTCTCCACCACCCCCTTAAAAAACTGAAAAGCATTCCACTTTGGCTCTTTGGCCCACCCACGCCAATGTGGGAAAGATACATTATTACTTTCACTTCAGGTTACTAAGATGGTGATAAGAATAGTCTTGTTCACTAGTCACTAGGTAATATAAAAGATGCTTTCTGCATCCATGACCAATGTATATTTTGTCATCTTCAGGTTTGTATCTTTCCTTCAATGTCTTAGCTTTTTTCCTGACTGTCCTCTTCTCCCATCCCACTCCAAGTAGCTGACTGGATACTATCTTGTCTTTTACCTCCATTGCTAGTTACTCTCTAGCTAAGCCCATGTATGTCCAGCACAAGTAGCAACTGGCCACAGAAAGTCCAGCATTTATGATCCTGATGGTAGCCAAGTCAGGGACACAAGGGCATTTGACAAATCAGCTCTTCCTGCTACTTCCTTTCACCCCTGCAAAGTGTAGAGGCATTGTATCTGTTTCAACTGCTACTCTGCCAACTGCTGCCGCCATCATCACTCAGGTAATTTTTCCTTCAGCTTTACTGCAGTCACTATGTTGATTGCTTTTTATTTCCACCCTCACCCTTCCTCCCTTTTGTTGGCTGGCTGTTGCAACTGTGGGGCATGTTATTATTGCTGTCCTTGGTTTGGCTTCTTAAAATCAATTTTTACTATTCTGTCTTATTTCATTGTGGGCAGCTGAGGAGAAGTAGACAGACAACGATGACGAAAGCATTGCAATTGCCCAACACTATGCTTTCATTTGTCTTTATTTGTGATTGTTAATGTAATTCTGCCTTGGCTAACTTTCTTCTTTTTAGAATTATGATTTAACAGCAAAGAGTAGATATCACTTAATGCATTTGTGTATATCTCTTTCTAAAAGTGCTATCATTAGTGATTATAATGCCCATCTATAGTCAGTGGCATATCGACAATATTGTGTGTGTATGTTCTAATATTCTACAAATTTCTATCAATACTAAAAGAGTAACAGTGCATGTATATTTTAGTATCTCTCATTAGTTGTGTATTTGTATCTTTTGGTTGTAGCATTGTTAGTAATATTTTGTCAATAATTTTGTTCATGTTCTTTTGGACTATATCAGTAATTACTTGTATTGCTATGTATCAATGTTATTATATTCAGTCACTAAGTAAATATAATTTATATTAATACACAGACATTTGTGTGTGTATGTGTGTGTATATAAAATGCTAATTGGGTGCATGGGTAGTTGTATACACACACACACACACACACGATAGTGAATAGTAGTATTTGGTTTAAAAAAAAAAAAACAACGTATGTATTGGTTGTGTTTATTTATTCACTGTACACCTATGTGTATGCATCTTGGTAGTGTATATGAGCAATTAGCATAGTGTATTTGCAGAAGTTACCAAATAGTAAAACTTTTGTCCTTTGAGACCATCCAAAAGTTATCTTGAAAGCTCTTCACTTGTATAACAAACATTTTAATTATTTTATTTATTTATTTCAGGTTTTGTATGTCATTCAGACATCGTGTGTGTGTGTGTGTGTATGTATGTATGTATGTATGTGTGTAAAAAAATATATATATATATATATATATATATATATATATATATATATATATATATATAAAATATATAATGTTAGTTTTTCCAGCATTCTTACATTTTTGGGGTGGGAATAAGGGAGTCTGTATTGTCCATTGTCCGAAGTCATTTCGACTACTTCTTTAGCCATTTTCAAGGAGGGTTGTTCTAGGTGTTGTTAATTTCTCTTCATGCTTGACTGCTTAAGATGTATTTTTTGTATACTAGTATAAGTATTTATTATTCAGACATATTACCACATCCTTGAGTAGACACCTCACATGTAACTTATCTGATCAAAGTACTATAAAAATCATCTAGCAAGAACCCTTAAGAAAAATTCTGATCGAAAATACTAAAGTTCTATATAAATTACATTACCGGAAATATCTCACTGTGAGAGAGGCTCTATATATAAACATCTTTCCCCCACTATCAACCTCACCTTATTTAACAGTGGGAATGGTGTGTTGAAAATTCTTTTAAAAAAATGGAAAGGCACTCACTCAAATTCCAGCTACACTCAATATGCGAAGTTTGGAATAATTGCTGCTACTAGTATTCAAAACAACATAAAAAATACATCTTAAACAGTAAAACAACCCCCTTGAAAATGGCTAAAAGCACTTTGGACAATTTTTGTACTCACTTACTCCCACTAGATGAAAAAAAATGTAAGAATGCTGGAAAAACTAATAAAACTTTAAATTTTCTTTGTATGTCACATACAATGAAACATGTTTAAAATAAAGGTTGCTGCCTAAATATACATTAACTGTATAATCACTAGTTTGTGTGTAATATAAAATTAGTTATGTTGTCAAATCACCTAGTGGTTAGCAAATAGCTAAATATTCCTGTATGTATACAAGCGCTTCACACCTCCTCATGGTAGATATCCCTCTATAAACAAAAACTTAGTGACAAATGATTTTATTTGTAACATTGTAACAAGAAATGTTAACATGACTTTCAACATTTCAGTTAAATTTGCTCTTGTAAATTTTACAAACTGCAAAGTCTTACATTGAATATCATGAAGAAGAAATAAATTTGATTCACTTTTTATTTAAGTATATATGCATTCACTTTGGCAAATTTGTATTGATTTTAAGTTAATATACACCTCTCTTCCTTATATGAGATTTACACCCAAATCATAACTTAAAATACATGTGTAGAGTCTGGATTAACAAAAAAATATTTCTAAAACTATTATGTACACAGATAAATAAAATTAGCATGACAAATGGCTACAAGTGAAAGCATCCAGTGAGAATCTCCAAGACAAGTCTGCTAATTATTGTTCTATGCTGAAGCATTCTTAAGTTATTTACTAATTTAGCTTAATACTGTACAAGATTGAAAGTGTTGGACACCCAATAATCATTGAACTTATTATAGTAGTAAATATAAGTAAGCTTGCTACTTATTGCTCTACAATGAAACACCCATAACTATTTTTCTCTGATATATACCAAAATTTGTAAATTCTTAACTTCTGACAACATTAAATGATTGACATTTATCAAGAATATATATAATTGGGGTCAACTTTGATCCCTGTATTTCTCTCTTACCCCACCATATTGCCTCTCTTCCTAAGAAAGTTTTATCAAAATTTACATAAGAATTTGAATATACTCCTACTATAACAACTAATTAACTATTTAACAGTTTGGTTAGTTTAATTTGATAGTCTCTAATCTTGTTCCCTTAAAGTTATACCCTGTCTTAAAGTATAAGTAAGATGGAATTTATTCATCCAATCAATACATCTAATTTGTTCAACTATGGTATTCCTACTTTGATGAGGTTACATGAAATCTAACTTTTTTTCTTTCCCTTTTAGTTTTCATTTCCCTTTAATTTTGCTTCTAATGGTTGAGGTGAAGCAGTTAATTTTATATACTTCTGATTACTTTGACATTTTCTGACTTTGAAAATCCACATAAGTGCAAATGCCCTTGAGAAAGGTATGAATACACCTCTTCCCCCCCCAGCTATAGGTTAATTAGTAGGATTTGTATCAGTAATTATTATCTCCCCCAAATTTTTATAACTGAAAAATATTTTCTGGCTTTAAAATAACTGTTAAAAAGGTTGATAAGTCATGAAAAAGCAAATCAACTAACTCACTTGGAAAAGAAATCTAATGAAAATAGTGAAAAAAAAAATGGGAAGAGTTTAAGTTTGTTTTATGCATTTTTAGATCACATTGAATTTTGGAATCAGTGTTTGATAAAAGAAAGTCAATTCAAAATGTTAGAATATTTCAATGGGATAGTAATTATTGTTATAAATCTCTGAAAATTATAGAATGATAAAATCTGTTTTATCTCTTCAAATATTGATATCCATAACATTAATAAAGGAAATTTTAATTCTGTATGTTTATCTCTTTATAAGAATTTATTCCAGTTTGTCTTGAAAAATTTGTATGTATCTTTTATTACAAACTCTTGATTTTGTGTTGAGTATGAATTTCTAAAACTGTGTTTGGTTTAAGAGAAGTGCTTCTAAAACTAATGCCAATTTTGCTTGTGAACTTTGAACCTAGTATCTGGATTCACCTGCCATCAGTAAATTACTGTATTACAAGGAGAGAAAAACTGGTCAAATAACTCTATGGAAATACATACTGAAAAACCTTTGAAAATACTTAAGAATTCAATTGTACTTTTTACTTTTCTTTTGTAACAGCTGGCTTCTTAGCTTTGATTTTTATTGCTAGAATATCAGTCAGCTATCAATTTTTGGCACATTGACATATCCATGACCACTAAACTAAGCATTTTGAACAGTTTCTCTTTGTTTCATATATGAAAGATGGCCAAGAGTTACTTGCTCATATTGAAGAATCCAGGTATTATGTCAGATATGTGGATGACACCTTTTGTGTTTGAAAATGAGGTTGAGACCAGGGATTTCCATCAAGCACTTAATACATTGCACCTGGTGTTGCATTTCATAGTGGAAAAGGATAACAGTAGTGTTCTTCCTTTTCTTGATGTCTGCATACACAGCTCAAATAAAGTTTTATATATATATATTTTTTTTTATAATTAGTGTACCAGAAAGCAGCCTTTATGAGTTTATATACATATGGGATCTTTATGTTCTAAGCAGCTGGAAATCTATTTGATTAAAACCATGGTTCATTGGGCCGTGGTCATATGTTTGGAAACTACTTTAGATTCAGAAATTGAATTTATTAGAACAGTTCTGAGTGAAAATAGTTACCTTTAGATATTGGAATCTAACATTAGAGAAAAAATGCAATAATTTTTTAAGCCTAGGCCGAGTGGTTTCTAGAAATGTCTTGTTTATTTGCAATTACCATGGATTAGTGAGGTGAGTGTGAGATTTGCCACACAAATTTTAGATGGTGTAAGAAATTTTTATTTTTGTGTCAATCCATATATTGACTTTGATGTTGAAACTGATCCAGAAGGATGTTCTGCCTATCCATCATATTAATTCTGTCATTTACAAATTCAGATGTCAGTGTGATGTTGACTATGTCGGCAGAACAGGTCAAAGGTTAAGGGTATGGATCACCCAACATGTACCAGCCAATATTCGCAAGATAAACGTGTGCAATTTGCATAGGTGCGTTAATATATCAAGTTCAGTGATAACTTAACATTGATTAAAAACCTGCAGTGTGCTCAGTCTTGTAGCCTGAACATGTTCTCAATGCTGAGTAGGGCTAATACCAATTATCACTTGAATGTTTTGAAATCCATATATATTAAGTCTTTCCAACCAACTCTGTAAGTAGAAGGGGTGGTTGGTAGGCTTAAAGGTATTTAAGCTTTAATGTTATATTTTTGTTTGCATATAACATTAAACTGGGATTTATATATTTTTTAGTTACTGTGCACATTTTCTTGTTTTAAATTTTTGCTCTGATGAGAGAGAACCAATAAACTGGTTTAGTTTTTTAAATCCTAATTATATTTTGTTATATTACCAATGTCCTTTTAATATGTCTGCTTTTATTGCTCTAATAAATTAATTTTATGTAAAGCAGGTACAAAGAGGTCTACTTTTTGGCATAAAAGACCTCAATTTCAGTAGGGAATATTAAAGAAGTTTTAAATCCAATATTACTGGAACTTTATCCATGTTCTTTACTTGGCCTAATTCCAAACAAGTTCAAACATTTATTACAAATTTATGAAATTTTAATTGGGTAGGGGTCTTATATACCATCAAGTAGATATTAATTAATAAATCCTTTTGTGCTAAAAAAAATTATGAATAGATTTTCAATATAATTGATTTTTTTTTTTGTTTTTAAATTACCTCCATTTAATTTCCTAAGTAGCTCCTTATTAACAACTTCATCAGGACTCTTTCAAAGCAAATAATTTATTTTGGTTGAGATTATATCTTTGAATCAGCACATGAAGAAATATTTTGATTAAATGTCTAGTCATCTTGAAACCTGCCATAGTTCCCAAATCTGGAAAGATTAAAAATATGGATACAAAATCAATGATAATAGCTTAATGTTAAGTGGATTGACAAATACTTGAATTGGGGCTTTTTTTTTTTAATTGTAATATTTCTGTGTGGGGGAAACATGATTTAGGAAAAATACAATCGGATGAATAAAACGGCAGAACAATTTTGTTCACAACATGTGACAGGACATTTCAAGTTCGAATTCCTAAAACCTATTTTCTCTTTCCCTTATTTACTTAATTTTATTTAATTATTTTACAGACTCGAGATGATTTTCTTGGCTTGGTGGAAATCCCCCTCAATCATACAAGCATCCTCACAGAGAGGCCTGATCGCAGTATCCCTACTAAAGATTACATCCTACGACCTCGAAGGTTTGTAACAGTATCACACTTACAAAACTGTATCAAATAATGTTTTGAAGATATCACTATATGGTTTTATTTAGTTATACGCATGTGTGTGTATTGGGGCTTGCTATGGTGACTGCTAGTGGCTTTGTTTGAACTCTGCTAAGGCCAGAATTTTGAATGGTGATTTTTCAACCCTCGCTGAAACAAAGATGAAAATTGTGATTTTGAAAGCGGAAGATGACTCAACGAGAGATAACCAGGAGGTTGGGAATTTCCAGAAACAGTATTCAAAAGATGTTTGCTACTACTGGAAGTGTTTTAAGTGCAAAGAAAACTGGAAAACTGCAAAAGTTAGACAAGAGATGAAAGAAAGATTGAGAGTCTCAGTAGGCAATCCAAAATTACCTGGCAAAAAAGTGAGTTTTTAGTGATGTAGTGGTTACACTCTAATGCAAGAGAATTTATAAGAAGACCAGTGGGAGAAAGAAACAATGCAAGATACACTACAAAGACAGTAAAATTTGGTGGTGAACATGTAATGGTATGAAGTTGCATCAAAAGTGATTAGAAGAAAATTGGTAAAAGTTGATAGAAACATAAACAGTGAAAACTATTAGTTTCTGCCAGATTACAAAGATGGAAATTTTTTCAGCATGACTGTGTTCCTTGCCACACATCACGTGTAGCAAAAAGGTGTCATGTGGATGAAGATGTACAACTTTTGGAAGATTGGCCAGCACAATATCCTAATTTCAATATCATTGAACCATTATGGAGGGGACTGAAGAAAAAATGCTCCAACAAACACCCCACAATCTCCAAGATCCTTATGATTATTGCCTCAAAGAATGGGAAAAAAAAACCCTAATGAGAAAATCTGGATCTTGTTCCATTTGATGCCACATGGAATTAAGGCAGCAACACTAATTAATAACTTCATAATTTTACATTGTGTACTTTCTTTAATACTAAAGAGCCCTTTTTGCAAAAACTAGTCCTTTTTAACTGAAAGCTGAAAGATGAAATTTTTACTGGTGACCCAGTATTTTTGCATGATCACTATGCTTAAGATATCCACTATACAGCATTAATGAAAATGCAGTAAGTTGTTTTCTGGTCCTCACAAATCATATTGTTAATCACTCTTGATTTTGGGGTAAAATTAACAAAAGTAATTAATTTATCAGGGTAGTTCATCAGGTTGTTATGCTGGGTTTTTCATGACATCTCTCAGACAAGATGAATTAATTTGTGGTGCCTATTATCCCTCTTATGAGATCTACCCAGAAGTATATAGCTGTTAATGAAAATGAATGTAGCTTGCAGAGGACAATAGTGCCTTTGTCCTTTTCAAAGTACTTCCACTTTCCAAAACAGTCTGGAAAGACCTTTTTTTGGCTCGCCATCAGCTGCATTATCTCATTCTCCTTAATTTTTAATCTCCTCTTGAGTTTGAAACCTCCACCCTTTCAGTGATTATTTTAGCTTTGGGAAAGGTCGGAAGTCACAGGAGGTGAAATCTGTCCTGTAGTATAATGTTTTTTTTGTTCTTTTAAAAACCTGCATAATTATATGACAGTCACATTGTACACAAATTCATTCATGGTCATCTTAATCCTCGAAGGAAAATGCATTTAATGTCCCTCTTTGATTGCTTGCCAAGTTACATCAAGGTTGCACAAATAGTTATTGAAATATTCTAAATAGCTAGTTGCATTCTGGACACACCTTACTAATAGCAAGAAAAAATCTCCTGACCAGATATGTATTTTTTTTTATATAAAACAATGAAAAATTATGTGATTTGTTTATCGTGATCTTTTGCATCTGTCAAATAATTTCAGCTTCTTTTATTTTCAGTTAAAAGTGTAAAATCTACTCTGTATGAAAAAAAAAATAAACTGAAAACTTTTTTTATCTTTTTCAAGCTATTAAAAAAATATCACTATTTTGCATTTTGTAACAGCACAAGGTCCCGTGTCCGTGGCCACCTGTGGATTTACCTGGCATATTATGCACCTGAAGATGAGGTTGACACGGAAAGTCAAGAAGATACTTCTTCTGCACAATCTGAGGTAAGTCCTTGCCATATGACTGACTCATTTGTCAGAAATATGCACACCTTGTATATACTTCTTTGTCTGTAGCTACCTAAGATATAAAGTTTCCTTAATAAGTCCTAAAGAGGTTTGATTTTTGACATTTATATTTATGGTCTAGTAAGACAGGAATTAGTTCATGACTAAGAGAATTGGTATTCTAAATTGAAGCTGGAATGTCTTAGTGTTTAAAATTTTTATAATATTTTATGAATTCTAATCCGTGCATAATCATTAATTAAAGTTAATTGCAAAAGTTAAAATAGGTTAAAGAAAGAAGGTAACAAATGACTTTTTTATGACATGCCATAAAAAGTGAAACTGAAGAACATGAGAAATGAGAATTATTTCAGCCTGATTCTGTTTAGATTAGTATCCTTATCTTGATTATTTTAATTATTGAATTTTGGCCAATGCTCTCACTGGTCTTTCTCATATTGTCTGAAATTCTGACATAAATTATTATCATTATTCTGTGAATTATTTAGACAAATTTCTTTTTGTTTTGATAATTATTCCTTGTGACCTGATACCTTTTACATATTGTAACTCAGAAACATTAATCTATAGCTTTTTGTTTTTTGTTTTTTTTAATGTAATCAAATCGATTAGCAGTTATATTGACTGACAGACTTTCAGGAAATATAAATACCATACTGTGGCATTTTCTTCTAAAACAGTACAAATATTCTCTTCACTGAAGACTTTTCAACAAAATAACATTAACATAATGCCAGAGTAAAATCATATTTCAAAAGAAATGAAAACTTACTATTTTATATTTTAGAAACTTTCTTTTCTAATCTTTTGAATAATAATTACCTTAAATTAACCAATATCAATACCACAAGGATTTAATTGATTGACAACTCTTAAATATTTCCTCAAGAAAATCAATGAAGCTCTAAACAATGTGAAAATTCAAGAATTGAAGAGGCAAAGAGAAACTCAAAACTCCGTTTATAATTTATCAGTGGTGTGAAGCATTTCCTTGACAACAAAGTTGGAGAAAGTGTCACAAGTAACTAATTTTTTTTTTTTTGTTGTGTGGAGGGCCTGCTCAAACTGACTACATCAAGGTAGAGTATTATCCCATATTTAAATGATTCAAACAAACAACTTGACAGATAAACATGTAAGCAATATTCTATTATTTAACAATGCTACATGAAGCAGCTATTTATTTCACTAAGTGTTGAATGTCATAGATAAAAGCACAAAACAAATTATTTAATAGAACATTAATTAATATTTCTCAACAATTTGAATAATTGTGATTTGTGCTTAAAATTAAAATTTACAAAACCAGTATCTGAGTAAAATCAGCTCTAATTATATGAATTTTTCAACAAATTGGGCCTCTATTAATGCTATGGTAATTTTGATTCATGTCACTTTCAGATAATCAAACACAGTATTCATTGAATGTCTTTAAAATATAGAAAATATCATCACCTTTTATAGAACAAATGTTCAACTATCTGAGAAAATTTTCAACATTTATAAGTGTTTCTGTCTGAATTTCTGGAATGTGAAGTTATTTACATTTGGATTAATATCCTCATCTTTGTTGCTGAGGACATTAGTCTGAATGTAAATGTATTAAGGTAAGAGTGAAATATATTTCAACACTGATTTGTTAGTGACACTATTTTTATTTATACATTTTAACTGGAAACCCTCAATTTAATGGAACCCAATAAATAGATTTCTGATTTAACTGGAGTGAATTTCTGTCTTAACATGTGTTTAGTGATTAATTAAATATAAATGACATTTCATATTTCTTTTATAATAATCAATATTTTTTAATTATTCCTCAAGTCAAAATTATAAGAACCTGTGTCTCTGTTGTGGCTTAAATAAGATTTTGGGTAATCACCCAAAAAACATTACAATTCACTGAAGTACACTGTCAAAAATGGGAGTAAATATAATATAATTTTATATTACACACTACTGTGTATTGCATGAAAACTACTTATTTTTTTATATTAAAAAAAGAAAAAAAAAAAACTAGCAAAAAATGGTCTTGAAGGTTACGCTCAGATTTAATTGACCTTTAGAATTAATGGATACCCCTTCCCTTTATTAGTCTGTTAAATTAAAGGTTTACAATACGTTATTTTCCAGAGTAAAAAGATAATAGGACTATTACCCATAAAAACAGCTGAACAACTGTTCTCTGCTGGTGTATTAGGTAGTGATGTCCATAGCACTAAAAGCTCAAATGATGAATTTTACTGAAATTTTATATGTTGATTTCTTGCTACAACTTATGAAAATCTATATTTGTTACATGTCTACTGTAAAAGAGTACATGATCATTTTGTATTTTTTTTTTCATTTTCTTTCCTCTTTCCTAGCCTGGCTGGGAGATGGTAAGCTTACAGAGTTCTTTAACTGAATCTGGTGCCTCTGGTCCAACTGCCTCAATGTCTGATGAACCCTTGACTCCTTTGCCTCCAGGTTGGGAAGAACGCACAGATGCCCAGGGTAGGACTTATTACGTCAATCACAATGAGCGTACAACACAATGGGAACGGCCCTCAAGGTAAGCAAGAGCTGAGGAAGATATATATATATATATATATATATATATATATATATATATATATAATCCAAATTCTTAATCTTTTTCTATCTGATATTTTTTTTTACTATTTTTTACATTGCAAATACACCTAGTTCAAAATTTTTGACAGCATTTTTAGTAAAACAAATGAATCAGACGCCCTATTTTTTACAAATAGCAATATAAAAAAATTATATTTGAATCCTAGTATCAAATAGCAATCATGTTTTAGTAGAGAAGGGACAGATGATTGTTCCCACAAACCCTTTTTTTCAGACTTGTTTAAAAGGTTTTCTTTGTTTACAATAACTTAAAAATGCTGTCTAATGTTTTAAATGTGGTATATTTACAATATAAGATATGGTAAAAAAAACCAAAAAAACTTCATAACTATCCTCCTCCTATTTGTGTTTACCAACTGAACTGATAATCTTGGTGTTCTTCTAATCCTTCTGTGCTGCTGTTGTTGTATTTTGGAACTCTCATCTATTCTTTCTTTTTGTTAAATGTATTTTACTTGTTATTGTGTTCAGTGATTCTTAACATGTTGACAATCATCATCCACTATCTCTCCATCCCACTCCTGACTTACAATCAGGCATTTCCTTTTTAATTTTGCTAATTTTCATCTTAATTCAAGAGGAATCTGGTAAGAATAGATCCTTTGTTTTTGTCTTTTTTTTTAAAGATGAATGCAAATATAAAACAAGCCTAAAAAATACAAATAAAGTATTCAAATTTGAATTGTTTCAAAATTTGTGTTGTATTCATAATTACTGGAAATATGTAAAAAGCTTTGAAAGCCTAAGAAATACTAAGACAAATACTTGATCATTAGCTGAAAAAATCTCTCAATGAATTGCGTTTATTTTCTATGAACACTGATAGAAATTCTGTTAGTGCAAGTAAATGTTAAACAATACATAATCTATAGTGATGTTGAGATGCCTTGTCCCAATTGAGTCCATATTCACCACTTATCATTGTCATTCATGCTTCACACATTCAGTGATAATTTCTGAATGTCAATGTTTCCAAATTTATCATTATCACAATATTTATTCTTGATGTTTGTTGATTTTTTTTATCCCACTCTCTTCTTTATTTTCTTGTCTGATTTTCCTTAAAAAGGGATTTTACATGATATAATTAACTTGCAAAGGTAATTGTCTAAAGTTCAGATCAATCCTTTTGTATTTCTTTATTGCTCTGTCTTTACCATGTGTCATCCCACCACCAATAGGCCTGTTCCCTCCAGAGACAAAAACTAAAATATATTTAGAATTGACAATCCCATGAAAATAAAGTTTTTAAGATTGTATCAAATATAAACTCTTTTTCCAAATCTGAGTAAAATAAATAAAATACGTTTTGGATATGTTTGGTAACATCTTGAATTTTGATTTTTAAAAATTCATCTTTTGGTTCTGCTATAAAGAGTTATTATTTCAAAACATTAATGTTAAATATTTTTCACAATCAATTTTATAATAAGGTATTATTTCAAGTATTAAGCTTTTCATTACTCTACTGAAAGCTATTGCAATGGTGGTCAGCAACATGTTGATTCTAACTTTCTTCTTTTTCACTCTCTGCAAATAAATGTATTTTTCTTTTTCTGTCAATTTGTTTAATTGTTCATTCTTTAAAATTTATTTAATGTTTTTTAAGAATCTGTGTTTCAACCACCTTGTTGCTCTATTATCTTTTATGAACAGGTCTTTATGTCTAACCATTCATCAGTCAACCTGGGGATACAAAGTGGAGGGAGACTTAAAAAAAATAATATTGTAGCTCTCATTCAGAACACTTTCCCCTCATGTAACCCCCATTTTCTATTCCCTGCCTTTTTTTTTTTTTTTTTTTTTTACCAATTTGCACAGTCCCAACCATCTATACACACAAATACATACACCCAGACTGTCCATAACTAACTATGTTGTTTTATTTAAATTCTCCTCTGTTCACAGCAATAATATGCTTCCTCCAGGTTGGGAAGAACGAGTGGATGCTAACGGTAGATTGTACTATGTCAGCCATCATAACAGAACCACTCGCTGGGACAGACCTACAATGTGAGTATGGCTAAGTTCTGTTGCCATGCTACAGTCGTGCCGAGCTCACTTTCAGAAAAAATATCTATAATCAGCTTATTTTTTTATTTAAATTTCTTATTTATTTTTTTATTTTGGTTTTGTTTTTTTTTTTTATTTTAATTATGATTTAACGCCTGGCAGCATCAGTCTATAAAGTATATTTTCAGCAGGGTAAATCCCACTAACATTGCAAGAAGCAGGGCGAGTGAACCTCCCCTTTTTTGCTTCCATAGACATCAGTTTTGTCCTTATTTTAAGTGGCATACTAGCATGGCCATCTGCATATCTTGCTATGTTTAAGTTCTTTGAGTCTTAGTTATTAGTTGTTCATATCATTTATTGCAAAGAAAGAGACTAGTGCAAGCCAATCTGACATGATACCCTCACGGGCATCTTCCAAACCTTGTGACATTAATTGATTTTTTTTGTTATTCTCTGCTAATTTTGGAATAATATCTTTCCTTGTAATAACACCTTTTTTTATTCAAATTGTTTTACTTGTCTTTTGTGTTTTAAGAACTTTTTGTTTTGCAGTTCAAGTATCAGTTAAGTATTTGTCTGTAAGTCATAAGTGTAAAGTATTTGCCTTTTAAAACTGAAATTGAAATATTCAAATAAATAAGCTACTTTTATTTTCTTCTTTCATTTTATGTTTTTAAAAAATGTAAGTATAAAACTTCTTGGTTATGATTTTGCCCATCAAATGGTTGTCTAGAGAAAATGTGTTTGTTATATGCAACTTTATTCAACAGATACTTTTTTCTGCCATGTAGATTTTAACAGCAAACCTCAAATTTATACAATCAATTTTTTTTCTGGTTCCACATCTACTGTTCAATGCTTTATCTTACGAGTCAAGCACAAAAACATATCAATTGTAAATCACTAGAGATTATCTCCTTGTACATTTGAAAAATACAAGGGATTAAGATATTTATTCCCTTTTATTTCTACAAATTCTACATTTGTTTTTTGATTCAAACAAATTACAAAATAATGATTTATTTTTCAATGCAATAATAGATGTACAGCTGAAACTTTTTTCTTTCCTCTTCAATTTTAAGAACCTCATATGTGAATAAGTTTGGTTTTAATTGTCTGCTTAACATGTAATTAGTAATATAATTTTAATGATGGTTACAATAATTCTTTATGAATTAACATTTGACATTTTTTTCCTATGCAAATTAATTTTCTTGCTGTGCTACAGAGATAGACATAACTGAAGTACTGAAGTACCTTAGTAAAACTTCAAGTTAACAAAAGTTTACTTGGTAAATGAATGAAGAAAAAATAAGAAGCAAAAAAATGAGAGGCTCATTATCTTCATCTTTTTCTGTAAGCTTTACACTCTTTTAATAATAATAATAATAATAATAAGCATCTATAAAATGCAATAATAATACACATATATAAAATGCAATAATTATAATACACATATAAAATGCAATGTGTGTGTGTGTGTGCATGTGTTATCTCTCTCTAATATATATATATATATATATATATATATATATATAGTTTTAAGGTATGCTATATTTATGGATTAAAGTGCTCAATATCAAGGATAGAGCATATATAAATATAAAAGTGGACATTGAAGTCAATATCCAGAGGCGGCAGTGTGTTTCATGCTATATGCAATCGTATTGGTCTGACGATTGCATTTAGCAAACAGATTGTCACTTCTCAGTGTTGATTCAGTGTCTACTTATATATATGCCAAGTATTTGAGAACAAATAAAGAAAATAGATATAGGAAAATCAGTATATTTTCAAAAAGAAATTTGTACATAAGTTTAACCAATAAAAGGTTATTCAATAAAACTACTGTTAGCTTTGAGCCTTGATGTGTCCTCAGAAGTGACTCTGTGATTGAATCAGGTGTTTTTTGTTCATATCAGCCATAAGAGTGGCAGCCATCTACAAGCATATTAAGGCAGCTAGTTAGCCTCTCTTAGACAATATCCCAGAGGCCAGTAGTGGGCTAAGGAATTCAAACTAGAGGGTTAAAGACATACAGCTACCGCTTTGATCTAAAGTTTGACCACTGTGTCCAGCACCTTTATGTGGGCATTGACCTTGAGACCCTGCAGAAAGCCATGGAGTACCACAAAGACCATTGTAGACTGTGAACTTATATATCATCATCAGTATTCTTGTGGGGTCTATGTTCACCTGGTAATTATCTGGTCACTGTGGTTAGGAGCTCTTGCCATGTTAAAATTCTCAATATATCTAAAAGAGAAATTGTGGGTACAATAACAATGGAGATGTCAGACCAAAATCAGAAATCTTTGGTCCTAAATCAAAAGGTCATGAATCCACCTCACAAGTCCAAAATCAAAAATACTGGGGGCATAAATCAAAAGGGGTCAAAACCTGTATCTGCAACTTCCAACATACAACTGCCTACTTAATACGCAATGAACAGTCAATCCTCTGTTATCCAAAGTAACGTTCTTTTATTGGGGTAAGAAAGGCCGTAATTAGTCAAGACTGATAAGCAAAAATGATCATATTTTGAAGCTTTACTAAAGTAGACCCAATCTTGATTTTCTTTTTCCGCAACCATCAGAGCAAGGTGTATTCTTTTTTGAGATAAGATCTGGTTTCTCCTTTGTTGCTACAGAAATAAAAATGTAAAAATTTGACATGTGCCACATTAGAGTATTTTCCAGTTTTTGTTCTCAAATACCTAGTGCACCCTCTGTGTGTATGTGTGTGTAACACTTTTCACAGAGCATGCAGATACGATACTAATACTAGTGTTGATCAGTATTTAATTAATTTCTTAGAGTTTTTAGATATGAAACTTATAATGAAAACAGTTTGTAAGTTTTGTGAACTTGGATTGACAGAATTAAATGTCACAAAATTGAAATTAATTTTTCATCAAGGAAAATTTTCTGATTTGAATTAACCAAATTGACATTTGGAAATTTTACAGAAACTTTTTCTTTTTTCTTTATTTTCTTTATTCTAACATTACATTTCAAAAGCAATTAAAAAGATTTTATGTGCAGAAAATCTGTCAAGTTGTTTTCCTGAAAAATGAGAATCAAAAAGATTGTTTTCCTGTTTGAATTTTTCAACTTAAAAATTTACCTCAAGACTTCCATCTCAAATTTTTACCCAACAATGCCTTTTGGTGGGACAACTACTTGTGGGCAGTGATCAATGAAATGGACAGAATCATTCTATTAAAAGAAACAAAATTTATATGTTTATCTTCAGATCTTACAAACTCACATATAAAGTCATTTTTTGTTTTTTCTTTTTCTAGAATTCTCATGCTTATTTTGTATTTCTTTCTTAGGCCAGCAGTGCAGCCTTCCCAGGTGGAGTTGCAACGACAGCGTAGTATGGAGGTGGCCCAATTGTACAGACAACGCAGACATATTAGCCAAGAGGACACGATCAGCTTGAACCCAGCTGAAGTTGAAGGTGTTGAAGAGGGCCCAGCAGCTGTAAGTGAATTTCATTTGAAACACATTAAATTTTTTCAACTACTACTACTACACATTAATTTCTTACTTGTGTGAGTGGCTTTCCCAATTAATTACTGTATTCACCATCAGCACTTGTCATGACAGTGATTAGGTGATATAATACAGGGCAGGTATATAAATTACATCTGCCTTCATAGTTTATCTTTTCTTACACAGCTAACTTAAAAATATTTTAGAGCATTCTCAAATTTAAAATTTGAAAATTTAATATTTTCCTCCACTTCTGTATATAAATACAAGTTACAAAATAAAAAAAGTTACACATTTACCTTGATAGTCCCTCAAGGGATGAAACATTTTGATAAAGGAAAGTTTTCTTGTCTTTATAGATATATTTTATTTATACCTGAATTTTTACATGCACTTTTACACACACACACACACACACACACACACACACACACACACACACGTGTGTGTGTATATATATATATATATATATATATATATATTATGGATAAAGCATAAAGATCCTGATATATTACTGAACCAACATAACGAGTTAATTTTTAAATGTAGACATAGAAACCATCTCAATCTAACTCAATATATTTAGAAAAAACTATATAGGAAGGAAAATATTGTGTTATTTTTGGAGTTGGAAATGATTGTATGCACATGTGTGCGGATACATAATTGTATGTATATAAATGTGTAGATGGACTTGGACATAGATATGTGGATTTATGTGTATATGCAGTTGTATACATGTGTATATATACATATGTATGTGTACATGTATTGTAGGCACATATGTAAAAATATGTATATGTGTATTTGTAATTTTAGGTAGGTATATATGTACCTATATATATATATATATATATATATAGGATTGCATGTGATCTGTGTGTGTGTGTGTGTGTGTGTGTGTGTATATATATATATATATATATATATATAAAGTATTTGTGAGTTCATATATGTAATATGTGTGAATATATGTAGGATATAGTAATATGAATATATATGTATATATGGGTATAGATTTATCTTTATATAGAGAGAGAGAAAATTCTAATGGAAGGACGTAAAATTCTTTTATTAATGTTTAATCTTACTTTCTCTTTAAATATTCTCTAATTAGAATTGTGAGATTAAAATTTTGAATCATCTGGAGGTAATATCATTTTAAATTGATAATTTAATTCAAATTTAAATATATTACTCTTTAATTATCAATCTTGATAGTAAAAGTATTAAAATTAGAAATATTTTTTTTGATATTCAAACACTTAAGTCACCACCTAATGTTAAACATTAAATGTAAAATTTAAGGAAAAATTTAAATAGATATAAATATGAATATGTGTAAGTATTTATATATGAATATGCATAGGTACCTGTGTATATTGATACATACGTGTGTGCTTATGTGTGAAATTGCACATGTAAATGAACGTATGTATATGTGAGATTTACATAAATGTACATGTGGTATATATACAAAAAAACATAAATTTACATGTGGTATATATACAAAAAAAAACATTTTTTTTAATATTACCTTCAAATATTACTCTATCTTAATTTGAAACCTAAACTTTAAGTAAGACAGATTACCCATCCAAAAATAGTTACAAATTACATTCATGAATTAGACTCAAACTTATAAAGATATTACCTTAACAGTCATTTAAAATATTAAAAGATTACTATTAGTAAACTTTTATATTTTAAATTTTTTTAATGTGTTTTTAAATATAGTATTTAACTCATATTAAATCCCTAATTTATTTGTAAAAGAATTAAATATTTAAATTTCTAATAAGCATTAATTTCTTTGTGGATTTTTTTAAACATTTAAATTACTATCAAACGTTAAAATTTGTTTTTTTACCTAAATTGCTAAAACTATACCACCCCTCTTCTTCCTCTGTAAAACCTAAATACATCTCCTTTCTCTTTACTTCCCCCTTTTTTCTTTTTCTCTCTTCTCTCCTTCCCTTTCAACATATCATTTCTGTTATGTTGACCAATTAAATAGGTCAATGTCTGATCCTTACCCCCTCCTTCCTCAATATTAAGTATGATAGAAAGAAATATAAAAATAAGCCCTCTCTAAACTCGACCATGTCTCTCACACCACTCCTTGCTATCCTCTCTGTTAAATTACATAAACTTAATACTACCTGTCAAACGTGTAAATTTTCATTTCATTTTTTGTTTCACCTGTTGAAAGTGATATCTGAGGATCCAGGGTACTTTAAAAAGTCTCTGGTGAAATAAACTATTACAATGGAGCCTTAAAGTGGTCTGTTTTTCCTTAAATTATTAGCTCTGAATTTACATTGAGCCCTCAGGATTTCATCCTCCTTGGGACTACCCATACAGATTACCAAGTTTTTCGTAACTTAACTATATATATATATATATATATATATAATTACGCATACTTACGTTTACATTACAACTCAAGAGTTTCATGGTTTTCCCATTCATCAGATACAAAAAGTTATAAGCTGTTCAATACAGTTGCTTTAAAAAACAACTGTATTGAACAGTTCATAACTTTCTGTACCTGATGATTGGCAAAGGAGCCATACTGCATACATAGGTATGTGTAATTATTAATATATACTTTATAGTTCTGTTTAACTACATTGAGTAACGTTTTGTTTACACCATCAATTATTTGCTCACCTGTATGTGTATGTAATTGCTCCTATATAATGTTAATCATATATCCGTTTAGATCATTTATTATACTTGCACACATACACACAAAGGTTGATAAGTATTTTTACTGCCTGAATAGTTATAGGAGAGTGGTTTACTCAAGTTCTAACTCAGCCATTCCTTTCTATTAACCACTGGGCTATATAACAAGGAATTTTTGTAAGGATATTTAGCAATTGGAATGGGTACAGGGAGAAATGGATTCATGTCTTTTCTGAGTACTGTTAATACAAAGTGAACATGAACTACATGAGCCAGAATTCAAACTCTGTGCCAGTCAGCTTTATAGCACCCTTGTGTTTCTTCTTATAGTCTCCGTATTATCTTGTGATAAAATGAGAATTATATTTTATAATTATATTGTTCTTATAGCTGTTATTATTTCAGAAGTTTGAAGGTTTAAATTTGGCCATGGTTTCTCCCCAGTTCTGAAGTTTCTTTTGTTTTATTTATTTACTTAAATCAACAGTCTTTTTATTATTTAGGACTAGATTTTGACAATTCCTATATGGAGAAAATGTAACTAATGAATGCAAATTGATGAGGCAAAGAGCATTTAAAGCATTTGAGTTAAGCTGATTATTTGTTTTTGTTTTACCAGTTTGTGAAAATATATTACCATTTTTAGTCTAATAGGATCCATTCCTTTTGGGGGGATTCTTTGCGTTATAGTAAAATGCTTTTATTTAGACTAAATAAAGATAAACAGTTTATGCATGTAGCAGAAATCTGAGTGCAAATTAAAATCTTGAAAGAGTTAACTCCCTTAACTTAGATATTTCCTAAGCTGTCTTTGTCTTTGCACAGATTCCATTTAATTTTCTACATATTACTGCATAAACGCCACCCTAAACTCTTTAAGTACTGATCATAAACTTTAATCTGTTTCAGTATGATATTATAACAGTTATATTTAATAATTACTGATAATTTTTAGATCTAGAAAAATATTTCACTTCACCTTTTCAACTTTAAATTCACCAAACTAAATTTCAAAGCAATTAATGTTTTAGAAATGGCAATATATGTTCTAATGCAGGAATTGCTTAATGAATGTAAAATGTCTAATGTCCACAACATTGGAGAAATAATTACAATATATAAATGATTAAGACTTCAACTACAATGTTATAATGAAACATCACTCAATAAGGTCATGTATCATTATTATTAGTCACCTTAACATATCTTTATATTCAAGCATTTGCACATTGTCATACTGTGTGTGAATGACATACAGCAGGATGTGTCATTACAATTCCAACTGCTTCACCTAAAATCTTGAGTTGATGTGTGGCAATCTGGCCCATCCTTGATTTATTGACATACCAGCAATTCAGCCTTGCTCTTGGATTTTATTACACACTCTACAGTAACTCAATAGAGGATTGAGCTTGGGTAAATAAAGAACAAGGTGTAACATCCTCTCACTTTGAGAGATCTATATGTGATCAGAATCACAAAACCATTGCTGGTAAATGAACTGGAGCAAAGATAAATTTGCACCTTGAAAAGCACCTCTTTTTAATTTCTAAGTGATAATCCCAAAGATAGACATTGTTTCTGTAATGTGTAGGCTAGTACCTTTTGAAGTGTTCACTTGCTTAAATGCTTTTACACAATCTGATATTGGTCTAGCTGGAGGGAATATTGATGTCAGTTTCATCAATCCAGATGAAAGTAGCACCCCCACCAGAGAAATCCGTTTGTACTTTTGCAATCAAAAACTTAATTCTTTTCATCAACTCAGTCTCACCATTTAAGGTAATTCTTGAAGTCAGAAATGTTGCAAAATCTTGTTGCTTCCTTGTATCTGCTTTTTGTGATTCCTTGAGAAATCATATCACCAATTGTCCAAAATTTTGCAACAAACATTACTCTGCCCCTTCAAAAGTCTTAACATAAGAACTGCAATTTCTTGAAAAAATGTCAGGTGCCACTTTACTCGCCTTAAATCTATACATGCACTTGGTCTTTTAAGCATCAAAGTGTCTGCTGGGTGAATGAATGGAATTTTTTTTCCAAAGACATGACTTTATTTCTACACAGATCGAAAGAAAGTGACATCAGTATTCAGCAGCAAAGACATAATTTAAAACTTGAACAAATTTTAAATTTATTAAGACAAATTTAATTTGAAATTTAGTTGGCAATTTCAAAGTTGGAAATATTTAGATATACTGCTTAATATTGCCTTTAACACTTAAGATTCCTGTCATACAATTCTTCCAAAATCTGTTATTAAAATCGTTTTTATTTTGGGTTTGTATAGAAACTAT